GGGAAGGGGAGCAAGGAGTTGGGGAGGAGGGAAGGGAAGGAATGGTAGGGGGAAAACAAAGGAGGGGGTAACAATGCTTTATAGGGAATGTACTCATTACCTTACTCAGGTAACTGTAACCCCTCTCTACAGTTATCTTCAAAATAAAAAATATTTTTAAAAAGTGGTAATTGGAGGTAAGAGTCTCACTTTCCTGCTCAGGCTGGCTTCAAATTGCTATTCCTAGGTCTCAGCCTCTTGAGTAGCTAAGATTACAGGAATGAGCTACTGGCGCCTGGCCAGACATGTAACAAAAAAAATAGCATTCAGTATCCACACATGCACAGTGGCTATTATGCTGGACAACAGAGACAGACAAAACTTCCATCTGTCTAGAATCTTCTCTCTCTCAGAGAAGCAGCCAGACCAAGCAGCCTCAGATGAGGGGTATCCAGGTGAGCATGAGACACACAGAAATATCTGGTCTCGTGAAACTCACAACTTAAAGAAAAGAGCCTCTCATCAGAAAAGAACATCAACAATAAGATTCAATAGTAAGTCCTGCTAAGGGAAAGAATGAGCCAAAGGAAACCTGCTGAGGCAGGGAGACTGTTTATAGGACAGCACATTTTGTTTTGTTTCCTTGTGCTGTTGGGGATTGAACCTTGTTCATGATAGGTGCTGACTCTACCACTAAGCTCTACCCCTAGCTTTTTATATAGGAATGTGTACATGTCAAAGGAAGATGCTGGAATAGAAGGGCCTCTATTCTCTTTAATTTAGGAGGTTTATGGCCAGAAGCACAGAACACAGACTCACAGACTGGAGAGAAGCCTAGAGTTTGGAAACACAGTCTCTCTGACAGTTCCCACAGCATGAGGTCACCAGTTAAGCATCCCTGGTCATTTTGGCTCGGGCTGATTCACATCAAACACTGACATGGAAACAGTAATTTGATTTAGTCGAGACTTTGTGGGAGCTGGCACTGGCTCGTCATGGCTGTGGAATGCCTGAGACAGAGATAACCCAAGTACTGATGGGATTTTGCCATCTTTCAGGCCGCCCAGAAACTGCAGGACCATCATATGACCAAGTCTGCGGGTGTCCCAAAGCTAAGGGCTTGGCAACCTTGAAGGTGGTACAATTAGGGGCATTAACGCCTCATTATTCTAAACTTCTTTCTGATGTATCCCATTCCTATTTTCCATTGAAGAGGAGGAAGAAAAGGAAGATGCTCCAGAGCTACTGCAACTACAGGACTGACTTTGCAGGGCTGGTTTTTAAACACTGCGTAGACAAGTAAAACAGGTTCCAGATGCTAATGCAAGGGAAGCCTTTCTTCAGGGAAGCTCTCTGTTCTCCAAATCCAGTAGTTACTAGTTACCAGTGGTATCAATTGGCAAATTTTCCAGAAGCTATGGGTTTACTCAAGTAAACCCTGAGACTAAACAGTTTCCATTTTAGATGAGTGTCTTCAAAATCTATAGTACACATTCTTGTTCCATTCATCTAACTTAGGAGTTATTCCCCTTTTGTGACTAACCAGCAGTGAGATGCTCAGGACAAAAGCTCATCTTTTCCTGCTCCCAACCACCCCTACCAGATGGCTAGAGTAAGGAGGAACCTCACACTGGCCAACCCTTTCCTGTGTGCCTTCTTTTCTGGCTGAGAGCTGTCCTCGCTCTGGAAACCGAATGCTCCCAAACAACAGTGGCAGGACCACCACTGTCAAGCAGCTACACAGGGACTCTACAAGTCTGTCCTGGCAGAAAAGTGAGGTGCAGGTACAGGGAGCTGGCCCCCACCTCTGAACTGTGGCTGAGGGAGGGAAGAGATGGCAGGGAAGGAACTGTCATCCAAACAGGTGGTAGTGCCACATGAAAAACAACATACCCGTCAAGGATGGAGATGGCCTTCTCAACCAGTCAGCCAGCAAAAGCCAAGATGTTCCCCGCTAAATCTACATTGAACAGACTTGTACATGGATACAAGGGTTTTCAGAGGAATAATGCCTGTATTATCCATTAAAGCTTCCAGTTGTTCTGCCAACTTCCCTCCCACACGCTAGATGAGTGGCTTTCAGGGATCCTATGCTTTTGCTGTGGCTAACAACAGACAAAGGCCAGTCCATGGTAGTGTGGACACAAAGCATCATTGAGAACACCCAGGAATGAGGGGTCTGAAGAAAACCAAGCAAACTACTGCTTTCGTTGCTGAAGGCTCCTTTAGTGATGAAAAACAGCAGACCCTGCAGCATTCCCCACATAGGCTGGGGAGTGGCCAGACCCTGCTGATTCAAGTTGAAGGTAAGAAACAAAAGCTGTGTGACCCATTCATTTATGCAGTCACTTCTCTGCAGCCTAAAAGTGAGCCATAAAACATCTGTTTTCATGCCTACATGTGGCCTGGAGTTAGGTGACACAAATCTCACCTTCAGGACAGTGACATGTTTATTATCTGTGTAAAGCCCTGTATTTGTAAGTGTTCTCAAACTTAAAACTTTCCCAGAATACTTACAAGTATTCCTTTGACAGAAAACTGGAAAATAGAAGGGCTTGGGGGAGGCAGTGGTGGTTGTCTCTGAAAATATATGGATAAAAGGAGGTACCACACAGCAAAAGAGAGAAGGCAAGATTGGTTTGCTTGAGATGCATTCTACAGAAAGCTGCTGTGGCTCTGTAAGTCTGAAAAATAATGCTGATCTGGCTTTTTTTTTTAAAAAAAAAGCTTAAATAGTTAAAATGGTTAGAAGTGTCTCAATAAAGTTCTAGGTTGACACTTTGGAAAACAATAGGAGGTTCCTCAAGAGACTACACATAGAGCTCCCCATTGACCCAGCAATCCCATTTTTGGGCATTTACCCAAATGATCACAAACAATGCCATACTAAAGCTACCAGCACAACAATGCTTATTGCAGCATTATTCACCATAGCTAAGATCTGGAACCAACCCAGATGTCCCTCAGTAGATGAATGGATCAAGAAAATGTGATACACACACAATGGAATTCTATGCCTCCATCAGAAAGGATGACATTGCCCCATTTGTTAGGAAATGGAAAGATTTGGAAAAAATTATACTAAGTGAAGTAAGCCAGGCCCAAAGAAACATAGGTCCTATGGTTTCATTTATTTGCAATAACTACTATATGTCTAGGATAATCTTACCAGACAAGCAGGAAAGGTCAAAAGCTATGCACATATGACCATAAAAGATGATGCTAAATGAGAAGAACCCCAAGATAAGGAAACAAGAGGTTTTATCTTTGTCACTGTTGTTTTTAATGTACTATGTAAATTTTTTTTGTTTCTTTTGTATGTTCTTCCCCCATGGTATAACCCCTGTTTTCACTGTATTTGATTCCGGTGCCCTGCATCTTGTATATACATTTTTCTAATTTGGGGAGGGGAAGAGAAATAACAAAATGCTGAAACAAGGATACAGGCTGACCCATAGTAACAATGAGATGTATAAGACACTATGTTTAAAATGAACTTTACAACTTGGGGGGGGGAGGAGTTAGGGAGGAGGGGAGGGAAGGGAAGGGATGGTAGGGGAAAAACAAAGGAGGAGGTAACAATGCTCAATAGGAAATGTACTCATTACCTTACTCATGTAACTGTAACTCCTCTGTACAGTATCTTTACAATAAAAAACATTTAAAACTAATTTACTAAACTGATAAAAATGAGGAAAAGTTCTAGATTTATAAAATTCATCTCCATGCCTGTTAAGGGAGATGGGAACTTTTCTCAGGTCTTAAAGAGTTCTGCAGATTAGACAAGGGAGGGGCTGTGTCATTCTGTACCTTCCCACAGAGATCTATGGAACCAGTCTGCCAATAACCTCAGTACTAAAAAGTTGGTGACTGATAAGAACACAGGCCCAGCCAGTACCTACACTGTGGGCTTACAGAAAGAACTCAGCCCTGCTGTGTCCTGACTTCTGACTTACTGAAACTATGAGCTAATAAAAGTGTGAAGTCTTTGGTTACTCAAGTATCTCTTTAGCCATCAACCAACTGGCAGAATCTCAAGCAGGAGACAGAAATTCAGAATTGGGCTTGTACTGTCTCTGCAATATAGGTCATACCCTGCTCCTCTGCAATGAGTTGAGTGATGGGAAAGCCAGGATGAAGGTGGCAGCTCTGAGGGGACTCTATGGCTCTAAAGGGCAGGCCTGCATACCCAGAAAGTCTGAGGCTTTTACTAAGTATGTGTTAGCTAATAAACTCTCCAGACCACCATTTGGTTTGCTAGAAAATCATTTGGAAGCATTTGGAAACAAATGTATGCAAGAGAAACAGAAGTCACACACATTATGTATACATAGCCTAGAAATGCTCATTAAACACTCTTGGTTGCATCTACTAAAAACAAAATGACTCATGAAGTCTTAGATTTTGAATACTAAGTCATTCAAATAGAAAATTTAAAGTAGCAGTTCTTTTTTGGGGGTAGCAATTCTTATCTGAATTTTAGTATTTATTAAAATTCATTCATTCACCCCTTGCTTTTGTCCCACTATTGTTAAAACACATACAGACCCTGTTCAATGGAAATAGAACTTTCTATTCAGTGTTTTAGGCAGGGCCCTCATCCTATAAGGAAGGCAGGCCTGGCCTTCCCTACTGAGTTACCTTTGGTTCACCTGAAAACAAAGACTGAAGTTCCTGCCAGACTTGCTTAGCTCGAGTGGCAGGAAGGTCCAGTGGGTTAGGACGTGTGAAGACTTGATAAACCTTAAACCTGCATGCCTTATTTAGGTATTTCCATCTGATATTCTTCAGGTGCAGGGTAACTGCTCATGTAGTTCAAAATGATTCAGGTTTTATATGCTTCTAGGGAAGCTTTCCTGCACGTTTGGAAGGTTTAAAAGCGTTAAACTTCAAATGCTTTGTGATAAAATGGAAATAGGAGTTACATGTATCACAAGTCATTCCTAAAACAATTAGGCCATAATGCTGGCTCAGACATCAAGCAAGCTGCCGGTGACTACAAGCAGTGGAAGCATAATTACCTGTTTCTCCCCACAATGTGTCAGTGCCATTGACTTCGATTTCATGTTCCTCTTCCATTCCCAGCAAGCACTGGACCACCTGTCAGAAGTGGCAAAGGGGTTTAATGAGTTCTCACAGCAATAGATTCTTATTATATCCCATATATCAAAGAAGAGAGGGTTGGTTTTTAGCCACTATCATCTCATGCTGCACAAGGAGAGAAAATATAATGAAAACCGTTTTCAAATATAATTCATATGCTATTCACACTTAAGCTTGGAGAATAATAATAAAATAAAGAACAACGCAGTCTCTGAATTTCAGCAACATTGTTTAGGATTACTAGGTACTCAGAATTCTAATGAATTCTAGCATGACCCAAATATGCCAGATTAATCAACAAAGGACACGGCAGATTGCATAAAATGCAGTTTCTGCATAAATCACCAGAAGATGGTGAATCCAGTTTTCACAAGGAAAAAAAAAAACCAAGATGATATCTATTTTTCTAAAAGAATTTTAAAGTATTATCCAAGCAATTTTTCTACTGACAGCCATGTTCTTTTCCCTCCTGGGCATTTTCCTGTCAAAGAACAGGTCAGGTTGCAAGTCTCCAGGCAGGAAAGCTGGCTCTCAGGGAGACAAAGCATTTATGCCCTGGACCAGAGTCAACATTCACCCTGTGCAGCAACAGTGACAGGAGAACAAGACAAAGCCATGTTCTAGTCTCCCAAGCCATATTCTTTGTGATAGGCTGAATAATGGCTCTGAAATAGGCACCCAACCTGAGTTCAGGAACCTGTGGGTGTTACCTTAAATGGCAAGAGCAAATTGGAGATGTGGTTACCAATCTTGATATTGGGTGATTATTCTGACCTGTTAGGGGTGTATAGTATATCTGTTACATACCTGATATAACCATAACAGTCCTGATGGAGAGTAGGAGGAATCCAGGTTAGAAGAAGAAGGGATAACAGAAGAGGGGCCATAAACTAAGGAATATAGGTAGCTTCAAGACTTAGAAGCCATGTTCTCTCCTAATCTTAGACTTCTGATCTGTTCAGAGTATGCAAAATTTGTGGCCTTATGTTATAATAGATTGAAGAAACCAATATATCCTTCAAATCTTTTGGTGAATGTCCATGAAATGGTCACTTGACTGTGCCAAGGTAGTTTTTGCTTAGCATTCCTCCAAGCCGTCTTTAAATGAGAGGTTCACATGAGAGGAGAGGAGGGTCAAACACAGAGTTTCAGTCCTCCTAACGATGCTTTCCCACATTCCAAACCCACTCAGATTTAGAGAACATTAAAAAGAAAAACATTTATATTTTCAGATATGAACACATAACACACACACACTGCATATTTATGCATGTGTTTTCAGTGTTTTAAATGCCAAAACCTTGTGTGTTTTAAGTGCAAATGTCAGCCAGCCAGCGTGGCACTCTAATTTACTTGATACCATTTTGGGGAAAGAATCTTACCAAATGCTGGCATCTCTAATTGCTTGAAGATACTACAAGCATGAGAAATAACATAAAATAGCAGGAATAAAATGCTATTAAATTCACAAAGCTAAGACACAGGTCAGAAGATGACAATTAAATCTTCAAATGGAGGAATACTGACATCTTCCAGAAATAAATGCTCTATTTAACTGCTGCGTGAAGTTTTCCTTCAGTGTAGGAACCACAAATGACAAGAATTCTTACATGCTATCAAAGCATCCAAGTTCTATTTTTAAAAATCCTTCAAATACTCAAGAATGGTTTTAGAACCAGGATGTCATGTGATTATTTTTACAAGATTGCAAGGACAAAAGAATGAATCAAAGGGGAAAAGGCAGGGTTAAGGATAAAAGTAGAACAGGGAAAGAAGAGAGAAACAAGAGAAAGACAGAGACTGTGCACCACTGAAAGAAGCCTCAGGTAGAAAGAACAAACCCGCTTCTCTCCATCACATATGCAGGAGACCAGGAGCCTCATTTGTGGGAAAGATTTATTTACAACAGAGACTCTTAAACAAGGTCAAGGACAGTGGCTAGTCTTTGAAATTTCTATTTTCTTTCATTCCTTTAGAACGTGATAGGTTTATTACTTGAAAGGTGGCAACTGGACAACACACGTGATCACTGAGCTAGAGTTTCCCATTAACCAGGAAGGAAACCTGCAGCCCACTCACCGAGCTGTGGCCCATGCTGGCAGCCGCCGTCAATGCCTGCTGCAGAGCTTGGCTCTTCCTCAGTGTCCCGGGCTGGGAAGGACTTGCCAACCACTCACAGGTCAGTAGGTATTGCAGCACATCCCCGTGGCCTCTCAGCGCACTGTGCACAAGCGCACATTGGCCTTTCTTATCCAAGTGGTCCACCTGGGCAGGGAGGGCACAGGAGTACACGTGAGCCTCATCTTTACTCTGAGAACACTAGAGGACCCAAAGAACATGTGCAATCCCACCCCACCCCAGACACGGGTTCACGTTCCGGTCTTTCCAGACTGGGCTACAACTTTGCCTGATTTCTTTCAGGGTAACGAGGACTTCAGGACTCACATTCACTGTGTACATAGCCAGAGATGATGAGATATCCTCTTACTCCAAATGTCTCCCTAGCAAACCTGTAGGGAGCCCCAGGTTCTCTTGGGAACATGTCTATGGAGCAACTCAATGGGCTGCTCAGGACGAATTCACAGGCTGCTGGGAGAAGCTGCAGTTTGGAAGAGGAGAGCAGTTCTTTGGTCACTGAAAGATCAGGAAATCTACTGACTACACCTCTGAAGGAGGAAGGCCAGAAAGGGAGTACATGCAAACAGTGGCCTGGGACATGTTAGAATGTAAGGGAGGTACACAAAATTGTGGGAGGCCAGCTCGCCAGAAAGGGTGTGTGTGTGTTTATATATGAGGGGAGAGGGGAGAGGGGAGAGGGAGAGAGGGGGAGAGAGAGGGGGGGGAGAGAGAGAGAGAGAGAGTGCACGCACAGCATACTTGCTAAAGACCACAGCATAGGCACCCAGTGACCCATTGCCCTGTTTAAACTCAGGGAGTACTAAGACTGAAGAAGTACCCCAGAGCCCCCCCCTCCCAGAGCACTGGTCCACCATGTAGATTCAGTTAAGAGCTGAATCTTAACTTGGGAGCTTCGCAAAAGCCATTGATTTTCAAATGGTAAGCAAAGGCAGCAGTGGTACACTAGACACTATGTTGAAAATAAACTATAGAACTTACACATGAGGATGGGACAGAAAAACTGGGAAAGGGCGAGGGAAGAGGTGACATTGTCCGAAAGAAATGTGCTCTTTCCCTGACTTGTGAAACTGTAACTCCTATGTATATCAGCACCTTTATAAATGACAGTAAAATTTTTTGAAGCCACCAATACTGACTGCTGGCTTCCATCTGCAATGAGAAGGGCCTGTTGGCCTTAGTCTCAGAATAAAGGATTTCTGGGAACTGGAAACAGAGGCATTTTCCTTCTAGTACCTGAAGTTTAGAGTTCCCAAATGAGAGAGAGAGAGAGAAGGGGGAAGGGGGAAGGGGGAACGGGAAGAGAGAGAGGGAGGGAGGGAGGGAAGGAGGGAAAGAGGGAGGGAGAGAGGGAGAGAGGGAGAGAGGGAGAGAAGGAGAGGGAGGGAGGGAGGGAGAGGGAGAGGGAGAGAGAGAGAGAGAGAGAGAGCGAGAGCAAGCGCCATTGCTACTCATAAGCCTAATGTTTTATGGGCTTTTTCTTTTGGGGGGTTTGAACTTAATATCCTTTTAACTTAACAGGTATTTATTGTTATTCAAAAGGCAGATTTGCCAATGAACTGCTTATAATAAATGTAAATGGCACTTATTGTGAACTTGACATTCTTCTCACTTTATCTATTAGCACTGATAGTTCTAAAGTAACTGGTTTAGTAAGCCACAGTTACTTCTTATTAATGGTGATATGTTGATTACTGTACATAGCAAGGTCAGGAGACACTGCTGTGATTCCCAGTGGTCAGATGAAAAGTCTCAGCCTTAAGGGTTGTTCTATCTACAAGTGGAAACATGACTCCAGACCTTCCTGCATCTCAAGCAAGTGGCTTCTGAAACCCACAGAACTATGCTATTGTTTTAAAAGAAACATGAAATAAAATGGTTAAGAGGCCAGGGAAGTAGGGAAATAAAAGCAAACATTTATGATGTTTTCAACTCATTGTGATGCCATGTTACTTGAGTTACAGGTCAATGTCTGCAGGCCTTTTTTTTTTGTCTTGTCGGTCATGGGGCCTGAACTCTGGGCCTGGGCACTGTCCCTCAGCTCTTCAGCTCAAGATTAGCACTCTACCACTTGAGCCACAGCACCATTTCTGGCTTTTTCTGCTTAGTGGTACAGAGGAAGTGAACCCAGGGCCTCATGCATGCAAGGCAAGCATTCCACCACTGAGCCACAATCCCAGCCCTGTCTGCAGGCTTTGTAAAGGATGGTCCTACTCATGCAGATATTGGCCAAGAATCTTCCTGGTGCTTCGACTTGGGCATTATTAAGCATGGACACATGGCCCACATCTCTCCTGAGATTGCTTCTCCACAGATACAACTACACAGTTGTCTGTACACTCTCTAGGCTACAATTTCTCAATTGGTAATAGTTTGACAAGGTAGAGAACAAGGAAGATCAGCCCAGAGGATAACAGTTTCAGAAATGATAGGAAGTTACTCTCCACTCCATCTCACACCCTAGCCATTGTCCCTGCCATGGGAAAGGCTGCTGCTTACCCTCGCCCCCTTCTTGGTCAGCAGACACACCAGCTTCATGTGGCCAGCAGCTGCCGCATAGCAGAGTGCAGTCATGCCATTTTCTGACACACCATCCACGCAGGCACCAAATTCCAGGAGCAGAGTGACAACTTCTTCATGGCCAAGGTGAGACTGGACGCACAGGATGGGGGCATTATTTAAAACTTCTGTCCTATAGTTCACGTTGGCCCCTCCCAAAATCAGGAGACGGCTCACCTGTTGGATAATGTTGGATCAGCAAAGTTAGCTTCTCTCATACATATTCATGTACATGTGTATGTATGTGTATATGTATTTGCATGTATATATGCATATACTTATATACATATCTATGTGTACATACATATATACACATAGTGGGGTATTAGGGATACAGCCTTGAAAAGAATGACACTTCTTAGTACATACTGTAAAAGGGATAAATACATGAATATTGTAAGTAAAGCCAGATGCTAAAGGACAAATATTGTATGATACTTATAAGGTACCTAGAGTAGTCAAATGCAAAGACAGAAAGTGTGATGACGGTTTTTAGGTCATGTGCAAAGGGAACGTAAGAGTTATTTACTACACAACCTTAGTTTCACAAGCTGAAAAGCTCTAGAGATTTAAAATACAACAATGTAAATATACTTTACTGACCTGAACACACAAATGGTTATGATGGTAAGTTTTCTATCATGGTTTTTTTTTTCTGATCCTGGAGCTTGAACTCAGAGCCCATATCTACAGTTCTACTTCCATGTTTTTTATTGTTTTATGTACTAGTGCTGGGGCTTGAATGCAGGGCCTAGGCATTGTCCTTAGCTTTTTCACTTAAGGCTAGCACACTACTACTTGAGCCATAGCTCCATTTGTGGCTTTGTGTGGTTAATGGAGGTAAGAGTCTCATAGGCTTTCCTGCCAAGTCTGGTCTTAATCTTCAGATGTCAGCCTCCTTAGTAGTTGTGATTAGAGGTGTGAGCCACCAGTAGCTGGTCTACATAGGTTTTCTAAATCACAATTGAAAATAAAAATAATTAAGTGTACAGTCTCAACACCACCTTTCCTGAGCCCAGGTCTGGGTGACACATTTTTAATGAGTTCCCAGGTGACATTGATGCTTTTGGTTTTAGGGACCAAATTTTGGGAAAACAACAACAACAACAACACTTTTAGCCTAAAAAAAAACCCAGAAAATGTATTTTTATAGCAATGAAACAATCAACACAACATTAAATTTTAACAGTTAGAAAAAGGCAAAAGAAAATACAAATAGTCTTCTTTCTTTATAAGGGTACATTCCTGTAACACAGACTGTTTCTATTATTCATTGCACCCACCATCACTGAACACTACAGAACCAGTAAGTTTCTCATCAACAGATTTTAAAACAATAGCACTAAACATATCTCACTTTTAGCTATTCCAATATCTCCTTCCAGTCTCTAGGCCACACACACAGACACAGAGACACATACACAAACTCACCCCTTTAACACCCATTAACATGCCCGGTGCATTTCTTCAAAGGTCCCCTCCAAGAGTTCCAACCTGCATCCATCACTCGCCCTGCCAAACCCTGGCAGGTCTTCAGGGCTGCCCATTAGATGTGAAAGCCACAGAGACCATGTCATTTATTTGACTGGAGACACATGGGGATCATTAAAAGCTACAGAAAGACAACAGGCATATAAAATGCAGGGTACTTCCGTGATAGGTGTCCACCAGAGTAGCTGACAGAATATCTACAAACTGAGCTGTGCAGCCCACGTGAACTCGCATACCAACAGGTCAGAACCAAAGTAAAATTGGAAGCTGGCTTTGCTGCTGCTGAAAAACCTCGAACCTCATGTGATCTGGGCCACCAGCTTCCTTTCAGACTTCCTCTTCAAGGTCTTTCTGCACACTTCCCTCATAATGTGTACCGACACCATGAGGTTTACTGAGTAACAATGCCAACCTGGCAAGGCCTCATGGCCTCTTGCCCTTCCAGCCCTCTCTGCCCGGAAAACTCATTTTATCAGCACATGTGTCAAAAGGATCTCTCTCTCTCTCTCTCTCTCTCTCTTGGGATTGCTGCTCCAAGACCAAGACCCTAAAGAAAATCCCCCATCTCATATAGAATACTCCATCTTTGCCTCCTCCCACACATCCCAGCCTTTCCTCCCTTCAGTACTTAATCCACTGCACCAGACATTGGACCTAGGGCTGAAGTTCAGAGAAGAGAAGCACTCAAGCCCCTCTACAGTCAGCTCTTTCACGTCTCTGGGACTACCCCTTCTTTGTAAGAAAGGTCAAGGCACATACATATAATGAGAGGCTCTGCTGAGCCAGCTGGCCGATCTCACTACTCTGTTGACCCTATCAGAGGCACAGTCATATAGCCAGACGCAGGTAAGCACCAACCTAGTCTTCCACTGACCATAGAAAACACACAGAGAGATGGGAAATCAGAAAAGGCTTTCTGGTCCTAACACAGATATAGAATGTAAAATTTGGGGAAATGACTTATGAAGCCCCACTACAAAGCTTAACAATTTCACCCTTTAAAACACCATCAGTATAATTCATAGGCATTCTAAAACCTTAAGTGATAAATAAAGACTAAGGGCTTTAAAACTTCCCTCTGAATAATTATTAGTTTGCAATTAAATGAATTATGGTAAAGAAATAGCAATGACTTTTATCAGGGCCTAGTATATCAATTCAGACCAAAGAAGTTTTGAAGATATGAAGCACAAAAATAGACTACAACCAGGGCTGGGAAGGTGGCTGAGTGGTAGAGTGCTTGCCTTGCATGCCTGAGGCCCTGGGTTTGATTCTCAGCACCACATAAGCAAAAAGAAAAAAAGCTGGAAGTGGTGCTGCAGCTCAAGTGGTAGAGCACTAGCCTTGAGCTAAAGAGCTGAGGGACAATGCCCAGGCCCAGAGTTCAGGCCCCATGACCAGACCACCCCCCCAAAAAATAGACTACAACCACCACAGGTAGGAATAGTTTGTAAATTCCCTACAAAACTCTACCAGCCAGTTATCAAGACCCCATTCTACCTACCCCATCCATCTTTGATACTCATGGGTCTAAGAGAAACACAGAAGATGGACTAAGTAGTCTGAACCCTCCCCAAGTCACTTTTAACTTGCTGTGTGACTCTCAAAATTACTCAACTTCTTGTGTTTGGGGTACATTCTAAGAGATACCCAGGCTATTACTCTATTCTCTTCAATAGGGTCTTGCAAATAAGGTGGGAAGGTGTATATTTATTACTCTCATATCATGCATACCTTACAAGATTTCTCCTGAAAGGTATGATTTTAGGAGCAGAGCTTTGCTATATATGCTTGTCATCAGTTTACCTCATTTGTTGCCAGGAAAACATTTCCTTTGTTGGTACAATTCTCTGAGTTTTTTTTTAACCACTTAACCTCCCAACAGTTTGTGGATCATCCTGTACCATACCTTCCTTAGCACTGCTGCAAGCACTGAAACCACCTGGGAGTGTGAAGTTTCCAATGCTTGGGCTGCACCATGGAGATTCTGACTTAACTGGGACTGGAGCTCTGGCACCAAAAGCTCCCAAGTGAATCTAGTTGGCAGGCAGGACTGTAAACATATCAAGTGATAAAGGCACCTGCAGCCATGGTACAGGTGTGCTGAGCATCAGGTGTCTTCTAGCTGTGTCATCTGGGGAATGCTACCAACTGTCCCAACTTTCAGTTTCCCCAATTGAAAAATTATGGAAAAACAGCATATGTATGTACATATACAAATGGGCAGTGTGTAGCCTAGTACTCAGTATTGTGTAAGTGCCTAATAAATATTCATTGCTATTGCAACAATCACGCTGTTGTGTAGTCTTCAGATAACAGGTTGCCAATTATGTGGAGGTCTGGCCTCCTGTCCACAAGGCCTTTTGTATCTCAGTCTGTTCATAGCCCAGAGCAGCAAGGAGACATGTGCCACACCTGGAGCCGTCAGACCGCAAGGCAGGCTACTCCTGTTTACAGCCACATCCAGAAGTTCCCAGGTACCTGTGGCTCTTGTGCAGTCAGTTTCCATAGACAAGGCAAAGCACCAAAATAATCCACATGATCACACAAACCATGCCAGGTTCTTTCCCAGGAGCTTTAACAGTGATCTTCCTCATGACTCTGTCCTTTTGTTGTCTCCATTTTATAGGCAAAAACATTGAGGCTCAGAGTGAATAGGACAGATGTTAGCTCAGAGCACAAAGCTTATTCCTGCCACGGATGGAGTGCAGCAGCAGTGACAGCTCCAGTTGAGACTGTAGGGTCCAAAGGAAGGTCGTCAGTTGACTCTCTGCATTTCTTCTTGTTTTGGGAGACAAGGTCATCCTCAGGCTGACCTTAAATTTGTGATCCTTCTGAGTGCCGGGACTAGACCCATGTACCACCACACCTGGCTCACCCAATACATTCTGTTCCGATGGTGTGGAGATTTTCTAATCCTCATTACAGAAGTTCTCCCTGGCTAATACTTGGAAGTAGCAATATTATTTATAAACATGGGATTTAATAAATGCAAAACACACACAGCAAAGTAGTGGGGGCAGACCAAGTGATACAACCAAGAGAAACAAGAGGCACTAGCCAACATGGCTGTGAAGTATGAGTCAGTTCCTTTCCCATTTAAAAATGTACAGTGTCTAATTGTGATACAGAATATGACTGATTCCTGCATACCCTCCCTGCCTCCCCCCTTACCCCTTCCCACCCACCCCCCAAGGAGGCGGGGGTCTCTTCCCTGTCTGCCGCTGAGAAAAAAAATACAACCTGAATTCTCCAAGTCCACAGCCTGGGATTGGCAGCCAGTCCTACAAGGCGACATGAACAAAAACATCCAGCTGGACAAGAGCCCAGAGGCACTGATGGCAAGGACCCCAGTGTGCAGCAGGTCAGTCAGGCACAGGCTGGCCCAGCCGTGGCTTGGTATCGGGAGGCTAAAGTGTTAGAAATCCCTGGCATGCCTCTGAAATTACTAAGTAATCACTCCAGAACAAGTCACTTTAATTTACCAAAGTGGCAAACTGCAATTATTGCTCAAAATGACATTCACTCCTGTATGACAACATTTAATACTCTAAAAAAAGTTCCTTAATTGCATGCATAATTGTAAATTACTGTAATTTGCCCAAGAATCTGTGAAAACCTTTTTGTCCTCTTTGAAAGACTTAAACACAAAAAAAAGGAGGAGGATAATGGAAAGCCTTAAGATT